AAGGGTGGGTAAGTAGAAAATAGAAAATTACGTTTTGACAAGAGAAAAATGAGAAATGATTGTGATCATTCAAAAAAAAAAAATAAAAAAAATAAAAAATAAAAAAAAAATAAAAAGCGACGTACCTTCGTTACGTTTCCATAGAGGCAGAATAAATTGAAAAGTTTATCGGTGTTGACTTTGTCCGGTTGTAAACCATACACCATCATTACGGATCCTTGGGTACTAGACGGTGGGGTTTGTCCTAAAGTGGGTACATAACCAGGTCGAGGTGGCGTAGGATGTAATGGCTCTCGACCACTGAAATCACTTTTAATGCCATAACGTTCAACGTATGGTTCCGCATATGTTGCTGGTCCATTGAAGCTTTCCTCGTAACGATCGTGGCCGGCACCGGGTGGGAAAGTCACCTGTGGTGTGGATCCTGTGGGAGGATATATATACACACACATATATATATATGTACACATATATATATATACACATATAGATTTGATACATACATATGTAAAAATATATATGTTTATAAAAAAAAAATTTTTAATATATACAATTTAATAATTACTATTTATCGAAATAAATATATTAAAATTCATTTTAAAACTGATCAAATATACACATATCGTATCTTATTAAATATAATCGTCGTTAAATATATCAACATTAAATGAAATTATAATGGAAAACAAATCAAGGATTTGATGTATTAAAAATTATTTGTTTAAAAAATGATGACATGTAATATATACATATGTGTATGCATATATATATATATATATATATACACCCACATAGATAGAAAGAGATAGAGATAAAGATAGACAGATAGATAGACAGAGAAAGAGAGAGAGAGAGAGAGAGAGAGAGAGAGAGAGAGAGAGAGAAAGAGAAAAAGAGAGAGAGAGAAATAGAGAGGAAGAGAGAGAGAGAGAGAGAGAGAGAGAGAGAGAGAGAGATTTATGATCAAACTATCGATCGACTTCTCGATGCCATGTTATCTTAAAAGTATCTGATAATCGAAAAGCTTATTCGAAGGAGGGGGATTATGTATGTATGTATGTGTGTGTGTGTGTGTGTGTGTTACCATACTATCTAAGGAAGTACCTAAAATTGGGAGCGATTATAACTATACACGTTCGTAGGCGCTCACTTAAACCATTTTCCTCAGTTAGGGAGGAACGTTCATCGTCCATCTAATAGGTTAACCCGTCGGCGAAGCGTCGTCACCATCAACACGTCGATCGAACTAATTACCTCGAAGATGATGAAGATAAAGATGATAATGATGATGATGATGACGATGATGACGATGACGATGATGACGATGACGACGACGACGACGACGACGACGACGACGACGACGACGACGACGACGACGACGACGACGACAAAGATGACGACGACAAGGATGACGACGACGACGACGACGACGACGACGACGACGACGACGACGACGACGACGACGACGACGACGACGAAGACGACGACGACGACGACGACGACGACTACGACTACGACTACGACTACGATGACGATGATGAATAAAAATGATGACGATGATTATTAATAATATTATATCGCGTATAAAAAATATTTGAAACGGGCAACAGTGTCAGGAGGAGGGCGCCACCGGCGCCGACACCGGGTGGCGCGGCCATTTTATATCACGTGAAATATTTTAATTCGTTCGTTCGTCCATTTTCCTGTTCTTTTTTTCCCTTCTGCTTCTTTTTTTTTTTCTTTTGTCGTTGTTATCGTTCTTACCCCGTAAGGTTAAGAGACCGGAGATAGAGATAGAAGAAGAAAAAAAAAAAAAAGAAGAAAAGAAAATAAAATACTTATTGAAATATTTTCAAAGGCACGCCTTGGACTTAAAAAAAAACTCTCTCTATACATTATAATTGGAAAAGCTATGCGTGTGGGTGCGACATTACAGTAAGCGAGCTGTCTCTACCACCGAGCAATATCTTGGAAAGTGATTTTCTTCGATCTAAAGGAGAAAAGAAGAGATGGTGGATTGGATAAGAGGGTATGATGGAAAAAGGGGGTGGAGAGGATGGATAGGTGCTGGCGCAGGGTTTCAAAGAAGAGAAGAAGAAGAAGAAGAAGAAGAAGAAGAAGAAGGAGCAGGAGGAGGAAGAAAAAGAAAGAAAGAAAGAAAGAAAGAGAGAGAAAGAAAGATAGAAAGATGGAAAGAGAGAGAGAGAGAGAGAGAGAGAGAGAGAGAGAGAGAGAGAGAAGGAGAGAGAGAAAAGAACGTTGGAAAAGCCGATGGAAATCGAAGTAGCGCTGGGCTCTGTCGCCTAGGGTACCGATCGATGCGTCTCGCTAAACGACGAGTCATTTCGTTCGATAGGTCAGCAGCGATTGCAAGTCGATTCCTTATCGGTCTCTCTTTACTCCTCACCGTATGGTTGGGGCGCGGCACCGTATCTGGGTTCCGCCAAGAGGGGCGCCGGTCTTCCGTTACCCGTCGCATCGTTCTTATGCGCGGTCGATC